CCGGGGGCCCCCCCCCCCCTTCTTATCAAATTTTAAGTGGCACCCCTTTTCTTTTCCCAATTTTCACTTGGGACCCCCCCCCCCCGCGCCACGCATTTCAACTCCCCCCCCCTCTCCTATATCCATAGATTTTCACCTGCAACCCCGGCCGCGGGAGCTCCTACTCCGGGGTAGGCGCCGGTAGCCGCTGGAGGCGAAGCACCACTACCACCACCACCACCTGGCTGCTGCTGCTGCGGCTGCGGCTGCTGCTGCTGTCCTTGTAGAGCCTTGGGTCCGGGAAAAGGAGTAGGATCGGACATGTTGTGAAGGTGGCATGCATCATAGCGGCTTGAGTGTGGGGGCACTAAAAGGGAGAACCTGTACGTACCCTCGAGGGGTACCAACGGCGGAACCCCCTCCCTTCAAGGTCCTCCCTCTCGCTGCCGAAGAGATGGCCAGCAACTGAGTGCACAAGCCAGCTCGCCTTCACCACGATGCTTTGTTTACGATGGCACACACGCCGCTACTGCTGTGTATGCCGTGTATAGAAGCCGAAATGGCAAGGGGAGTCACCCTCCTCGGAAGTGAAAGTGCCCGGCACACGTAGTCCACGACATCAAACCATTAGACTAGTCAGCTTAGACTAGTCAGTGCTGACGAGTCTAATGGTTTGATTTGGCTTCTGCAGGTGCCAGATCGGAGGGCGCGCGACGCTTCCGTTCACGATGCACAGCACAGCACAACACGGAACCACAACAAATAAATATATTTCTAGCCTTGGCACAGACCAAACACATGAACCGTTTCAGTGTCACTGCTGCTGCGGACCACGAGCACCGAGTACGACAACGACCGGCCTGACGCGAACAGGGAGAGGGCGCTACTTAGTACTGCCTTGCCTTGAAACGCTGCACACGAAACCAAGCGTCTTTATTCGACCCCCTCTTCACGAGTACAAATAGAGCGCCCTCGCGTAAAGAACCATCCCCTAGTTTTGGCCAAGGCTGGGATTCTCAGTCCCTCTTGTGGGCTGCAAATGGCCGCTAAATGCGAGGTAGGTGCAGCGGTTCTAAACCGGGCTCACAAACATGGCGCTCAATTTTGATGATCAGAAACTGCGGGCACCTTTTCCCTCTCTCGCATAATTTTGAGCATGAACCAGGGGGGCCTCAGGGAGAGGAACCCTTTTGTTTGACCGCGGGTTGGAGTACACGGCACAAGTGCTGTGAGCACTGACTTCAAGTCAAGACAACACAAAAAAGAAAATGAATGGTCAAGTGTCTTTAAGTCCGGTCGGAAGTGCGGGCGCTATTGCATCTACAACCCGTCTTGTACCTGAGACTCCATTTGGCGAGCAAGCTCGATGGACGCGTCTTCCCCCTCCTTGAGGGCCCTCTCCCGTCGATGGGTGTAGCCCACCTCGAACTCTCGCCTGTGAAGCGCTTGCGTGTACACCTGCAGTAGTTCCAAGGGGTGAAAAAAAAAAAATATATATATATAAAGTTGGAGATTGAAAAGCATAGTCTCGAAGTTTGTTCATCTGCACCCAACGAAAAAACGCCCCCAACACGGAAACTCGAAACCAACACCAGTAGGATCGTTATGGTTATTGTCGTTGCCACCTGTAGCTCCTCCTCTGTCTACAACATCGGACAAGCACAAACGCCGCCATTTGCACGACTAAAGACAAAAACGACAAGGCCCTAGCAAAAAGTCCATGACAACACACTCCAAACGCCAACAACTACAACAACAATACAAACAACAGTCAGCACCACCAACACTACCAACACTTCCACTACCTACAACCACCACGATTCACCGTAATAATAACAGCACGCCAACGACAAATACAACAACGACAGCAGCAACAACAACGAGGCCACACTAACCAAGTCCTCGCAGGTCTGGTTGAGCTGCGCCAGCCGCTGCAGCAGGTCGGAGTAGAACATGGACCCCTCCGACAGGAGAGCATGCACGTCGTGGAACAGCACCACGCTCGCGTGTACCTTCTGCAAAAACGCCTCCCTGTCGAGGGTCTCTTGGTCCGAGGCCCTGGCCTTCTGGAACCTGTCGAAGGGGGGGGGGGGGGGGGGGGGGGGGGGGCCTTTTTTTGGGGGGGCCTTTAGGGTTAAAACCTTTACCCCCCCCCCCCCAAAAGGGGAAGGGAAATTTTTCCCCCAGGACCCAAAATCCAGGGGCAATTTTTTCTTCCCATTTTTGGGCCCCCCCAAAAGAGGGAAAATTTTTTCCCCCCGAAAAAAACCCCCAGGGGAAATTTTTTTCTTGGGGGGGAAGGGAAAAAACAAAAGGAAAAAAATTTGGCCCAAAAAAGAATTTTTGGGGGGGAAAAGGGGTTTTTACCCCGAAAAAAAATTTTCCAAAAGCCCCCAAACCCCCCAAACCAAAAAACTTCCTGAAAAAAAAAAAAAAAAAAACCCGGGGGATTATTTTTTCCCCCCCCCCTTTTAAACAGGGGTT